CCCCGAGGCGGCGAGCGCGGCTTGCTGGGAAGACTGGGCTGGCTAGGGCCAGTATCTCTCTGGGCCCCGGCCCTGCAGCCTCCTTTGCTCCTCGGCCATCTCCCTGGGGAAGTGCTCAGAGGGGCCGGGCCGGGCTGCAGGAGCCTTCCTGCCTGGAGCCAGTGGCGGAGCCCAAAGAGCCCCTGGTGCTGTGGCCTCGCTGGTCCTCCCCAGCTCCCCCGCACCGTCACCCTGGCCTGGTGCCTACCCCTGCACTTGGTATGGTACAGCTATTCCGGCAGGCTGGATAGGACAGGCCCTTCCAGTGCACACCCCCGCCCCAGCTGCCAGAGGTGCAGGGAGAGGCAGGATGGGGCGTTGCCTGTCCCAGCACCATGGCTCAGAGCCCCCCATGAACTCAGCTCGCTCTTTGTCGTGTCCTGTGATACTTCTGGCCTTTGGAAGGTCCCCAGGCCAGTAGTGCCACAGGCGGCCTGGGGTTTGTGCGGAGAAGCACGTCCTTAAACCTGCCTCCGTCCATCCCATCGGGTGGCCCCTAGTTCTCAGGTGTGGAGGGGGAAACAACCCTTCCCTCGTCACTTTCTCTGCCCCGGGCACGATTGTACAGCCCTCTCGCACATCCCCCTGCGACGCCCCTCCAAGCGGCCCGGCCCAGACGTTCCAGTCTCTGCTCGTCCGGAAGCTGCTCCAGACCCCTGCTCCCTGGCACTACTTTTTCTGTTCTCCTGTCCGTTCTTAGAGCTTCCTGGAGCCCGCAGCGGCACCCAGAGCTGCAGGTGTGGGCGGGTTTAGGCAATTACTGTCTTCTTAGCTATCCCTTTCCTAACGAGTCCCCGCAGCCAGTTTGCTTTTTGCCTGCCCCTGCACCATGAGTGGATGTCTCAGAGAACTCTCCACGGTGACGCCAAGCTCTCTGGCGAGTGGGAACTTCTGCTTTAGACCCCTCACTTTGTATGCATGGTTGGGACGGGGTTTTCCAGTTGCTCAGCTCCAGGATTCTAACTTTGGATTTTCTTGTTATTCACATCAATGCCCAGTTCCGCTTTGAATCTCATCTGGCCTCGGTTCTGTCCTGTGGCGGTGAGTTCCAGGGATTAACAGCACATTGTGTGGAAAAAGCAAATCCCTTACTGAGGGGTGAATTCACCTCCTGGCTCAGCCTTTGTCTCCCTGCGTGGCCTCAGGCCTGAAGTAAACAATCTGGCTGTCTCTACACTGGCATGAATTTCCAGAAATGCTTAAAACGGAATACTATTCCGTTTTCAGTTTTTCCGGAAAAGGAGTGTCTACATTGGCAGGCTGCTTTTCCGGAAAAGCCCTTTTTCCGGAAAAGCGTCTGTGGCCAATGTAGACGCGCTTTTCCGGAAAAGAGCCCCGATGGCCATTTTTGCAATCGGGGCTTTTTTCCAGAAAAGACTACTGGGCTGTCTACACTGGCCCTTTTCCGGAACCGTGTTCCGGAATAGGACTTATGCCCGAGCGGGAGCAGAATAGTTTTTCCGGAATAGCGGCTGATTTTGTATAGTAGAGCATCGTTGCTTTTCCGGAAATTCAAGGGCCAGTGTAGACAGCTCGCAGCTTATTCCGGAAAAGCGGCTGATTTTCCGGAATAAGTGGCCCAGTGTAGACAGAGCCCCAGTGCGCGGCTCAGTTCCCTCCTGCTGCCCCGCTGAACCTTCCCCCCAGAGCGTTCCAGGTGGCCCTGTGGCTGTTCCGGTCGGGAGTGGGACCTGGCGGCTGCGGGTTTCTTGGCTGCAGGCCTGTTGGCTCACCAGCCATGTGCAAAGTCCCATGTCTCTGGATGCAGCAGGAACCAAACAGCAGGGAAGAGCATCTTTGGCTTGCAGAACCATGAGGACTCCTCAGCCAGGGCCTTGACGCAAAAACCTCCGAGGGCCGACACCCGGCTTCCACGTGCTGCTTCTGGCGGGGCCCGCGGCGAACCTGCGCTGACCGTTCCCGATCTCCTTCCTCCCCCCGAGGGGGCCGATGGATTCCCTGCGGCCCGAGCCAGGGCTTTCCCAGGGACGGAGCACAGCTGGCGGGTCTGGAGCTCCTTGGATTCTCCTTCTTCCCTTTGTTCAAGATGGGCACTCGGTCTGGCTCCCACCACTCGCCCGGGACCCCCCCCAGGGCCCTGCATTCTGTCTGGCTCC